TATATATATATATATATATATATATATATCGCAAAATATACTACATTTTATATTTCATCAATATCATATTTTCACCCTTTGTCAAAACAGATTTAAGATTTAAACATCATTTTTAATTCATCGTCAGGTAAAACAAAATCGAATATCCTCTTATATTTTCTTCAAACTTACTCACTAGATTAAGACAAATATCAAAATTAAGAAAAAAAATTAGTGGTAACCATACGTCATTATCTTATATGAATAGGAGAATAAATAGAAAAAAATGTTGGAGAATATTTCATTGTACTTTGTTAGAAATTTTGAATAAAGGTTGTCTACACTCGAATAAAAACTAATCATTGAGAGATTGTGTTCACTCATTATTTGAAATCTAGTCAAATTGTATTTCTACGAACTTTGTTTCATTGAAAATTTAAGTAGAACTCCAAAATGTTTTTTTTTAGTATCAATCCCTCCAATTTCCCAAATATTTTTCAAACTAATTAATCTTTACAGTCATCAAATACATGTTAGTCCACGGTTGATAGTGGATACAAATTCCTATAAACCTCCTTTCACTTAGTAGTATGATAGGTGAACAAAAACACAATTATTACCGATATACTATAATTCTCAACAGAGAGTTATCATAAATTTATAGCTTTTTTATAATACGTACAAAATAAGAACCTATTGTGGTTTTCCTACAATGGTTTTTGCATTAATACAATGACACTCCTTGGGATAATAATCAACTTTTCACATACTCACGGATTTTTGTAGAACTGGCAAAAATCGATCCAACCAACCGAAGCTAACCCAAAATTAGTAGGTTAGATTGAGATTTTAAACCCATTTAGGAGATAAATAGATCAACCCGTCCAACCCATTTAATTAAATAGGTTGGGTTGGATAAATGTTATCAACCCGTTTTCAACCCACAAATCCATTTAACTTTAATATATATTTAATTTAATAATTATTTAAATATTACTACGTATTAATCTAAGTATTAACGTTATCATAAATTATAATTAATTTAGTAATTTATAAATTACAATTTTATATTATTAACGTTATCATAAATTTATAACTTTTTATAATACGTACAAAATAAGAACCTATTGTGGTTTTTCCTCAGGGAGGAGGGAGTCGTTCCCTCCCAACCCACTGAACCCAATGAATCCACTGACACATAAGCTTTTCTCTTTGATTTTTCTTCATCTTTGTCAACCCACAACATACGGAAATTCTATCTTTCTCAACCCACTCAATTAAAAAAAATACAAAATAATCAAGATAAAATCTTAATTAGCAATAGAGTTATCGCCGGTACCACTTCCTCTTTAGCCGGTTGTTTAATTGGTTTCACGAACCCACTTCATTCTCTCTCTACTTTCTCTATCTCATTTTCTCATGTACCGTGTGTTTTAAGATTTGTACCTTAGTTGTTTAGTATTTTTTTTAATTGAGCGGGTTGAGAAAGATAGGATTTTCGTATGTTGTGAGTTTGGAAAGATGAAGAAAAATGAAAGAGAAAAGCTGATGTGGCAGTGGGTTCAGTGGGAACGACTCCCTCCTCCCTCAATGGTTGTTTGCATTGTGAATACAATGCCAACGCTTGGGATAATAATCAACTTTTCACATACTCACAATTCAGACAACGAGATACCTTTTTGTAGAACTGACAAAAATCGATCCAACCCACCAACCCAACCGAACTTAACCCAAAATTAGTAGGTTGTGTTGAGATTTTCAACTCATTTAGGATAAATAGATCAACCCACCTAACCTATTTAATAAAATAGGTTGAGTTGGATAAATGCTGCCAACCCATTTTCAACCCACCAACCCATTTAACTTTAATATATATCTAATTTAATAATTATTTAAATATTACCACATATTAATCTAAGTATCAATTTATAAATTACAATTTTGTATTATTATTTATGTTTTAAAAAATGCAATCCTAATTCCTTTTTTTTTATACCGTCAACACTAATCACTTTCCAAAATCATTTCGAAATTACACATCTTTAATATTATTTGAATAATTTCTTTGTTTTTATGAATTGGTATTGTGCTTTCATTATACTTTGAAAGTTTATTTAAGTTTTGAACTAATTTAAGCGGTGTAATCTTTAGTTAATTTATTTACTTTTTTATTTTAAATGAGTTAACCCAAGTTTAACCAATTTATTTAATAGGTTGGGGTGGAACTTACATAAATAGGTCAACCTAATAACAACCCATTTATCTAAAAGGTTGGATTGGATTGGAAATATCTACACATTTAAATAAAAATGTAGGGCTGGGTTGAAATCTTCAACCCAATTAATAAATGGGTTGAGCCTGAACCCAACCTAGGTCGACCATTGTCAGCTCTACCTTTTTGTCATTTAAAATAACAAACTAAAAATATGTTTTACCTAAAAACAGAACTTACTTAACATTGTATACACCAAATACTCAACTTATCCCTTTAACAAACCCATTTTACCACCTTTGGTGATTAACAAAACTAAAGGGATACAAGAAGAGCACTTACTTCTTCACATTGTAAGGATGAGATTTTGTGTATTTTACCCATAAACAAATAAGGATTCAGAATAGCAATTTAACACAAAAGGATTCAAGTCATAACCGTTTGCTAAAAACAATCCAATCGACATTGTCCAATGAAGGAGTAGCAGGATACAAGAGTGTAGTTAACATTATCCCAACAACCTTAAAAAACACAAACAAACTTACATTAATAATCAATGATGATACCTGTGACGTTGGTCCCTTTGACTGTATTCTCTGTCTCTATCATAATCTCTTTCCCTTTCCCTTTCCCTTCCCCTATCCCTCTCTCGGCTTCTGCTCCTTCTCCTAATACTTTCCTCCCTTTCCCTTTCCCTCTCCCTTCCTCTATCTCTGCTTCTTTCTCTCTTTTCTCTATCACTCATTCCTGAAAGCAATACACAAACAATTAATACCAACCTACTTTACTCTTTTTACTTTTATTTCTTTACCCATAATAATAAAGTATATATATATATATATATATATATATACATAGGTAGCAAGAAGAAAGTATGAAATGGCTAAAGTAGTACCTAGCTCCTCAACCTCCCACCCTGCACGTCCAGTTCCAGGCAGCACCTGACCAACTTCAGCTTGATGTGCTTTCACACGAAATTTCTTCTTCAGGTTTCCAAATTCATCATACATCTCACCATCATCCTGTAATTGTGTGTATATATATATATATATAATAAAAACAGTAAATATTAAATAATTAATGTTTGTAAATTTAGGGAGGAATTGATCTCATCTTACTTCTTCGGCTTCCCTCCTGCGCCTTTTTGTTTCTTCTAGCTCTTCTTCATCAAGTTCTTTGTACCCACCAGCACGTCCTCCTCTGCATACATCATATAATTTTCATCAACATTTTTTGTGACTAAAAATATATAAATTAAACAGCCATGAAAATACCTCACACCCCCTTCACTAACACCGGGTTTGTTTGTGTTGCAGATGTTGCATTTCAAACGCTTTGCCCAGTTGATGTTACCACACCTGCACAAAAACAATTTAACCATAAGAAGCTGTCTCAGAAATGTTAATCAAAGGTAAAAAAAAAATAGAAGAGTAAATTACATTTTTGGTCCTTCAGTATAACTGATTTTTCAAATATTGTTCTTGTTTGAGGTTTTTGGTCACTGTTCTGTGTAAAATGACTATTTGGAACCAAATTTGCAAAAATCAGCTATAATCAATCAGGGACCAAAATGATAACAGTTTACGTCTTATGCACTTACATTGGACAAGGCCAGTCATTAGGACCAAAAAGACCGGTGGGACCACCAACACCACGACCACCACCTGCTTCAGGACCACCACGGCCCCTGCCCCGGCCTGCCGCCCCTCCACCGCCGCCTGAAGCTCCGGCGGGTCTTGCACTACCACAACGGTTGCATACACCACGAAATGCAAAGTTCACATTCGAACAACTGTTTACCAAAATATATCACATAAAAAAGAGTTTAAAAAAAAGCATAACTTGTTAAAAATATATCAGAATTATTTAAAAAATATAGCCAGAAAGAGCTGCTCACCAATGTCATATCACAGACCTTGTATTCGGACACATCCAGTCCCCATCTTGTTGCCATGCCTTTGGCGGAGCATTTGAACCATCACCACCACCACCACCACGACCTCTACCCCTTCCACCACCTTCAGTCATGTCTCCACCACTTTCATCCAGACCAATAACATCACCAACCACCAAACTTGGTTCAATAACTGGTGTGACTAGGTTATTGGAATTTTTTGATTCTGCCATTAAAACTTCAATGATGCTTCCATGGAATTCTTTATTGTTGAACCATTCTACAGCAGCTTGTGCAGCGTATGGATCTTCATATGTCACTGTAGCATCTCCTTTAGGCTCGTTTGTTATTTTGTCGCGATATAACCATATTTTTGGTCGACCTGTTCTTTTATCTTTCTATAAAAAGAAAAGGATAAAGGAAAAATGGAGTGATGAAATTTGAAATATGTAATAAGATATCATGTGACAATGGGAGAAAATATGCAGGTAAAGAAATACCTTTATAGAACTCATACCTTTAGCAAGCCAATAGTGCCAAAGAACTCGGCTAACATTTCGTCGTCAGTCCCAGGAGGCAAATTACAAACATATACAGATCCATTTGAAGAGGCTCCCTTTGCTGAGTAGTTTGCCATTGTGCTCCTATCTCACGAAAAATCTTCAACTATATAGCCAACATCAAGCACTACAAAAAGACACAACAGTGTAAGGTGCTATTTTAAAAAAAGTATCAATGTGAATATGTGATCAATCTTAGACCTCTACTTGTGAAAAGGTATTACATGTTGCAAGTCTACAGCAATCAGGGACAAGACTTTTTACATCACTTCCATCCTTCATAATATATGTCATACACCTTTTAGTTGAACCAAAGGAGTACTTAAGCAAGGAAAAACTCAAATGTTGGTCCCATACGCAGTTGGATTAATTTAAGCAATCAAGAAAAACATCTGTGGGAACCCTCCTAAGTCCTACCTTGCATACAGCATGAGCTATCTTTCGGATGACCGGATATAAAATTGACAACGATAAACCAAAAAAAATCAAACATTTCATATACTAAATATGTTAAAACCCTAATTTTGTTTTCGGTCTTTGCGGGATACCAAGATGGAAAAAAGAAGATTGACTAGAATTCGAGCAAGAAAGATGAGAGAGATATAGACCAGAATATGTCTGCTTACCGGAGACAAACGGCGAGAGTCGATAAGATGAGATCGGAGAAACGATGTCGATGAGTAGGGGTGTAGGGCGCCGTATTATACAGAGAGTGATTCTTTTCTTTGTTTGATTGTTTGATTATGAGAGACGAGCCCAGAACAGAGCCATTTTCGGCTTTTTTGCTCGTGAGATATCAAAAATTACTACTTGTCTATTGGGCCTGGGCCTGGGCCTGGGTCTAAGATGAGACAGATATTTTTACAAAAATTAAATATCGGTTTAGTGACCTTAGTCCAATCCAAAAAAAATGTTTTTTTTTTCTTTTTTTTCAAAGTTAACTAACTCAAAACAGAAAAATTGAGATTTTAATTTCGCAATATTTGATCAAAAATAAAAAATAAAAAATCAATACTTATTAGATTTTCCTTTAAATAAAAATAAGATGTTTTGTTTTTAAAAAATGGAAAAGATTTACAGACTTCAGATCACATATGCATCACATATGCAGAGTAAAAGATAGACCAAACATACACAGTAAGAAAACATTAAATTCAAGCCAAAATTTTCTTTAACAATTCTTACTATAAATCTTTATGGATGTTTAATCTTTTTCTGTCAACAGTTACTTCTTCTGTGCATGTTTCTAATAAGCATTTCAGATGCTCGTTTGAAAGTTGTTTCTCTCTCATTTCTAATAAGCATTTTAGAGATTTTAACAACAAAAATGAACAACAAATCAGATTTCAACAAATGAATACCTCGCATTTCATTATGCATATACATATTTCAGCCAATGAGGCGACTGAAGAAGGAAAAAAAATGATTATTTCATTTTTTTTTAGGTTGGAAGAGGATGTGAATATATTTTTAGGTCTGCAATCTTCGAAAAACATACAGTCTGCAAGCAAAAGGTCCACCCGCTGGCAGACATAAATGGTCAAGAATATCTTTTGAAAGTTTGATACTTTGAATCCCTTGGGTGAACATTTACAAAACCAAACCGAAGAAGTTTGAAGAAAAAAAAATAAGTATTTTTATTTGGTCTTGTTTATTTTAAGGTATACTTATTTAGTTATTTTGTGATTTTCTCACCACTTTCTCGAATTAAAAACCTCTCAAGTCTAAACAGATAACTTTATCCTCACAGAACCACTAAAAGGTTGGAATTATTCCATACAAATCTAAGTAACATTCAATTGTTATCGTACAATGAGTGAGATGGCAAACGGACAACAAGCTATGCCGCTAAGCCTTTTTGAATGGTAAAACTAATTCTTTTAAAGACTACATCCGAAGATCTAGGGGATATAACATTATTATGCATGATTCGTTGTACTCTTTTAAGAAGCTCTATCGCATCCGGTGCGAGGAAACCAAACGTATCAAATGCAAATGGTATGAACACGTGTTGATTTTCCATGCACGATTTCTCATGTTTGGTGACTTTGCATGTAGCTGCTTTAAGCAGCATGTCCCGCCGTGAAACCCTCAGCCCTCAGGCCCACGAGAGGGGATACCCCTGTAAGATCCACACATGCGTGTTTCTCTCCGACCCATCCAAAAATCAAAATGTCAGCCGGTCTGAGGATTGACCTTCTTTCTGTCGGGTCAGTCAAGAAATTAACAGGTGCTTCTTTCTTAGCGGAAACCCCGGCACGCTTAAATATGTCAAACAAACCATCCATAACCATATCGTGCCTGTATTTGAACCCTGGGAGTTCTTTACAGTGAACTGCATGCTCTCCAAAGGGGTCAAACATGCCTTGCGACACACATGACATATCTCGTCAGCTGGGAATATAGGAAATCATGAGTCGATATTTGAGAATAGTACGATACTCCACGAGAGACATGTGTTGGCCAAGCCCATCTATAGAGATAGCCAGAAGAAAATCTTGAGCATGTGGTTCACGTAAGCACTGGAAAACCGCTTTCTGCCGAGCCGTCATATCGAGATGCACTTCCATATCTTGGACAAAATGTTTTAAGTTTTCTTCTTTTTTTCTCAGATTTGTGTTTCCTTCCAGTTGCAAGTCAAGAACTTCTCCAAATCTTGAGTTTCAATCACAATGATTTAACCTTAACCATTTAAAAAACGTCAACCCTTCTATGAAACACCAACATTTGCTACTTTAAATGCGTTTCAGTTGACAGTACTTTGGAAATAAGAAAACCAATTATTATATTTTGAATTGCCAGTTTAAGGTCTTATTAAACTGAACAAAACCAAAAGTATAACAAATACATGTTCTCATTATAAAATAAGAATATACCTCGTTAACACATAACTTTTCACCATAACTATTATGCCATAATATTCCTATTCATCAAAAATAACTTCAACAATAAAACCATAAATTTAACAAATTCAACAGCAGTCCAAAAACAAAAACACTTGTCCAAACAAACTCAACATACTGACTGAAAATTTATCTTCCGCAACTAAGGAAGTCTCAACAAGGATACAAAGATATCATCTAATCTTGTTTTTGATCAAGACTTAAACAGGTACTGACATGGGCATAGGCAATGGCTCATCAGCAACAATTGGTGGCCTATATTCCTCAACCTCTTTTGGTGGATGAACAATTACATCATCTTTAGGCATATGAATTATAACATTATCAGGTAAAGGAGTTTTAGGCCCAAGCTTCCCAGTAGGATCCCAATCAAGCATGATCTTCACCTTGATACCAAGAACACCCTATTTGTACACAAAATAACATCATGAATCTTGCATTTAACAGAAAAGAACTTATCTTGTTGGTGAAAACAAATAAAAAAGGTAACAGATGGGTTTACCTGTCTAAGAAGCACATGTCTCACAGCAGAGTCAATGTATTCCTTCACGGGTTGACCAGATGACACCATGTATCCATCCTTAAACTTCATTGACTTGGCACGCTGGGCTCTAAGCTTTCCACTAACAATAACCTGAGAGTGATGAACAATGTTAGAGAAAGCAAAAAACTTGTATGGAAAAGAGAAATAGAATCTTTGTATTCATTCATATACCTCACATCCTTTTGCTCCATTTTCCATAACAAACCTCAAAACACCATAGCAAGCCCTAACATATGGACAAATGGAGTATCAGATGGCATACTCTTGTTGATTAGAGATATAAAATAGAAATAAAGCATAATATTGATGGATTGGCAGTTTGAATAGAGAGAAAATGTTTACAAACCTGCGGACTGCAAGTCCTCCAAGAAGCTTGTAACGCAAAGACTCAGCTTGAGCAATGGCGCATAGCCCTCTGTTGTTGACTCTTTCAGCATAAAGCTCAACACTGTTTTCAGGGAACTTGAATCGTTTCTGAACAAGAGATGTCAACTCCCTGATCCTCCTTCCCTTCTCACCTGAAAAGCCAGATCCAATAAGCAAATAACCATGGAGGAAGAATGTCTAATGACATTTTGTTCTAAAGTAACAATCATTAAGAACTATTGCTCAGAACCCAAAAAGGCAGAAACGTTTTATATTTCTAACTTAACAGTCAATAACCTTAGGATCACAATTCAGAAACAGGATTACATGCTAACAGATAACATTTAAGATCTGTAAACGTGAAATTAATGTACATCTTCTAATAGAAATGGACGATTCAAATCTACTTCACGTTTGCTAATTAACTTATTTTATGATATTTGCTTTTAGAATGAATAATTACATTATTAATAACGCGATGAAAAATTTACCGAGAACGTTTTGGGTACGGGTGGCTCTTATGATGATCTCGGTACGCATGGGCGTAACCCTAACTTCGACGCCGGAGTAACCGTCCTCCGCGAGTTCCCTGGTAAGGACCTCGTTCAGCTCAGCGAAGAACACACCATCTGCTACAAACTGATACGCAAAAACAAATTAGACTAAGATGTATGACAAATACACACCGCATCGACTTGCAACAGTGATTGGTGGGACTAACCTTTCGTTTTTTGCTCAATTGAGTCGCCATATTTGCAGGTAGAGTACGGGTGACGAAGACTGACCACAACCGCTGCTTATCTCGTAGCGAAATCCTATAGAGAAAGCAAAATATAGGGAAGAAACGATAATAGAGTTAGGGTTTCTAATAGCATTGGACGCGACAGGCTTGAAATCGAACTGAAGTGGGCTTTACCAGGCCTGCTCTCTTTTGAGCCCATACCCGTTGGCTTTTCTGGACCATCTTTGAGACGTTTTTCTGTTTAAAAATATGTAAAATTTTTGCACATTGATAAATAACTAGGTCCCTTTTCATCAACTATACCAAAAGCACCTATCCAATGACAAACCTGACCAGAGACCTTGAACACATAAGGACCAACCGACCTATTAATATCCTCGTCTACCTTACCTCCAAAAGATGTCATACTGAACATGTTATTATAACCCCTTATATTTTTAAAAAAAAGGGGGAAATCATACAAAGCCAATAACAACCGATGAGGTATAGGCGGATACGGCAGGACAACAGACCCAGACCTACAACAACGGGTATAAGCAGGAGAATCTGGACGTGACAAATACCGAACCCTTTCATCAAGCCAGAAAAGAGCCAAACACGACTTACAAATAAAAATACAATCACCAACATCATCATAAGCAGGCAAAAGCAAACATTTATTAGAAACAGGCAAACAGGGTATCTGAGGAGGAATTATCGCAGCTAAACGCCTAGAGAAGGAACGCTTGCAAGACAAAATTGCCGACATCAAATAACCGTATAAGAGGAATCATACATACCTAAAGAAGAAAAACACAGTCGTGAGAACAGAGGAACAGATAATCGGCAGAAAGAGACGAACAGATTTTGACGATGATGACACTGAAGGCGGCAATCGCAAATGCAAAATAGAAGATAATGATCACAAAATTTTCAAGGCGGTCTATAAAAAAAATAAAATTAAATGCAAAATAGAAGATAACGATCACAATAATAATTTTAAGTCGATCTGTAAAAAGAAAATGTTTGAAAATAAAAAGAGACGGCAAAGCAAAATAGTCGGTTGGCCAAATTATTAAACACCAACCGGTGTGGCAAAAGTAGCAAATGAGGTTTTTAATGTGGCTAAAGTAGTAAACGAAGGAAAAAATTGTGGCAGAAATGAGAATTCTCAAAGGTTCATGTTCACCAAGTTTTTAACAATTAATAGTATATATAATGTTTTCAACTTGTGCTGTGTTTTCATTATATATATTTAATTAAATTATATAGCCTTTAAGAACAACATAGTTTTTCTTTTTCAGAATTTTGTCACAAAACTTTTATATTTTCAACTTGAGTTGTGTTGTCGATATAAATACTATTAAATCACATGGCCTTTAGAACAGTAGGATTTTTCTTTTGCCATAAAACTTTTATACTTTGGTATATTTAATCCCAAAGGTTTTATATTTTGATAGATTTAGTCTCTACAAAATCTTATGGTAGATTTAGTCTCTGCAACAAAGGTTATATATTTTGATAGATTTAGTCCCTAAAGCAAAAGTTTTATATTTTGATATATTTAGTCCTTGTAATTTTTTAACTTATAGAAAAAGTCTCTATAAAGTTTTTTTCCTCAAAAACATATTTGGTGGAGGTATCACTTCTAGTCCATGATTTTCACTATACTGCTGATAATACAAAAACGACGATCCCATTATGTAGCATGGTTTTTTTTTCTAGTTTTAATTAATTAGTAACAGTTTAGATTTTATCATGTCAACGTCTTATAAAATGTTACATAAAATAGGCAAAAAAAAATGACATGCATAAAGTGTTTATAAATCTCTTTAACCTTAGGAGGTACAACCTTTAGTCCTAACTATACATCTTTTTCCTACATAAAAAAAATATATTCTTCTAAATCCACAAAAAAAAAAACAAAAAAAAAAAAAAAAACTTTTCCATTCAATTTACCATTCATCCCAGTTTTCTCGTCTCTCCCTATCTTCGTATAAGTTATAACATTTAGCAAGGAAAATCGTTAAGGATAAGTTATACTATGTGTTCGATATACCTGCATATTTAAATGTTGTAATTTATTAAAGAATTAATATCATAAGTGGGTAAGGTGCGGCAAGCACCTCCTCATATGTGACTCAAGTTCGAATCCTGAAAGTTTTAAATAAAAATAGTCGGGAGTTTGGGGTGTGACACAGTTGTGAATATGACACATATATACAAGGCCGGCCCAATACATGGGCGAGTTGGTTTGAAGCCCAGGGCAGCAAAATTTTAGGGGCATAAATTTAGTCCATTCATCTATAGTATATATAATATTGGTCCAGAAAAATTAGCCTAGTAACCTAACCTTTGAGTCCAATTTCTGTGGTGAGAAGGGCAGCGTGTGTACCGGTGATCATCAACGTCGCATAGAAAAACGAAACGTCAATCAATATTCGACACCTAGAATCACACCCATTTGGTGTTCGATCGGAGAACTCAACGCCTCGAAGCACACCCATTGATTTCGAATGCCGATACTACTTTTCTTAATCGTCGATCGCATCTCTAATATAAGAAGTAAGAAGCAATTTCTCTCTAAATCTGATATTCAGCTTTCAAATTTCTCATTCATCGGTCTCCAAAGTGTTTATGAGTCGATTTCTGACTTAGTAGCTAAATCTATACCTTCATCGTTTTTGTGATTGGGGTTTTTGTTCCCGTCTATCATCTTCCTTATATTCTTTAATTTTTGGAGATGGAATTGCTTTTTTTGCAAAAACGTTGGTAGTCACTCTAACTCAAGAATTTCTCATTTTAAAACATCCTCTTTGTGTTTTCATTACCTAGTTGTTACTATATAAAAACAATTATTAATCCTTGGGTGAATAATTGATATTAGGTATTGGTTTTAATGGTTATTTTGAAACAAAAATATAAGCGTATGATAAACTCAAACTTTTGAATAGGGCTTGATGCGATCTTTGGTTGGTTTATAGTTTGAGATTTTTCAACAAAATGTTTTTAAAAACCCAAATATATTACCAAAGGTACTCTACATATTTCCTTTCAAATGATACTTTTTAACATCTGAAATGACTTTCTTCATTGATTCAGATTAATATTTAATGTATTACACTTTGTAAATTGATGATTTAAATCTAGAAATTGATCAAGTATTAAATCCACAACAATGGGTTAGTTGGTTAGCTACAAAATATTAACTTCAAAATGGAAGAGTTACTTTGAATTTCTAATATCAAATGCCAGCTTCCCTTATTTTTATGGTATATCTTTGACAATTATTGTGGATGGATGAGTCTGATAAGTGCAATTATGTTATATAAACCCTCATATTGTCAATCTTATATTCATTACAAAAACATGAGCCATCTATTTGATATTGCATTCTATTTGTTGTCCTTCAAGGGAAAGGAAGTTAGAATAATGACTTTGATTAACCTCCATTTCAGGACAAAATGTTTCTGTTTTGATAGTTCAATGCCTTCCTTCAAATTTGATATTTCAGTCTTGACCAAATTTGTACATTTGAAGATCGTAGGAGGGTAAGCACTCCATGCTTACTTCTATGATGAGGCATGGCTAGGTTTTATGATCCTTAAATAGCAATAAAGTTGTATAGAACAATTAACATTTTTGGTTTTTAGTCTGAATATTGTTTTTAGTTTGTATAAATATGATTTTACAAATAAAAAGATGTATTTATTTTTGTTTTATGAATTTTCATTATATAGTTGTGATGTATATATAGGGGCATTGTTAAGCCTTTTGGCCTAGGGTAGCAAAAACCTATGGACCGGCCCTGCATATATAGCACATTTTCTTAGACAAGCCTCCCCATATCGTCGCAAATTGAGGAAGCCACAATAGGCAGGTAGGTATGTAAAGGAACTGAACGTTCATCAAACTGTTCGTGAACCGTTCGGTGGGAAGTTCGTTGTAACATCCCAAAAATACAACCCAAAAATTTTTGTTTGAAAACATTACTAAACCATAATATCAAATACCAAAAGATAAAAACCATGAATCGTGTATCTCAAATGTCATAATAAATTATCAATTCAAAACTAGTGTCAATATCATATCAAAATATCAGAGTCTAACTCCCAGGCTAAACTGTGGTGTGTGTCATGCCATCATCCCGAGCCCTTCCCTTTGCTAGCTGAAGTACCTGAAACCGAAACTGAAACTGTAAGCACGAAGCTTAGCGAGCTCCCCTAAACTACCACATACCATACAATAACATATAAGCACATACTGGGCCTTGCCCACTACATCGGACCGAAGTCCGGAACTAACTAGGGCCTTGCCCACTGCATTGGACCGAAGTCCGGAACTGCATCGGACCGAAGTCCGGAACTGACTAGGGCCTTGCCCACTGCATCGGACCGAAATCCGGAACTGCATCGGACCGAAGTCCGGAACTGACTAGGGTCTTGCCCACTGCATCGAGTCATCCTTCATCTGACTATTTACCCCCTGGCCAAAGTCAACAATCCGTTGACCTGACTCGCCGAGTTGGGCCGCCAACTCGTCGAGTCCCTATCTTTCCTTCTTCCCTTTCCCGGCTCTACTCGTCGAGTTTAGCAAAGACTCGACGAGTTCTCCTTCTATGATAACATCGAGTCATCCTTCATTTGACTCGCCGAGTTGTATGAACAACTCGTTGAGTTCTCCTTCATCATATGAACACTTCTGGACTACGACTCGCCGAGTTGTATGAACAACTCGTCGAGTCTGTTCTTGCGGGTAAGGAGATTGCCTTGGACTCGCCGAGTCAGGGCGTAGACTCGCCGAGTCCCTCTACATTCAGATCCATGCCTTAACTCACTGAGTCTTTACTCCACTCACTAAACATACTCGCTACTACTGAACAGGGAATCTAAGATTCGCGACCTGACTCGCCGAGTCAGAAGAACGACTCGCCGAGTCCTTTGCATTCAGTTTCTATTCAGTCGATTCTAATCAGTTTTAGTGCATCCAATTCATAGATCTAGGTTTCTGGGACTATCTG